ATAAAAAATTTACAATTGATTTTAGCATTCTCATTATTGCCTATAATTAACACTACTTGAACATGATAATTGTATTTTACACGGGCTGCATTTGCTTCCAAAAAACTTTCAGAAATATTAAATTTTAGATTTTTTCATTGCACTCAAATTTATCCAATACTTTTTGTGTATACATTTGTAGGACAATAATATTTGAAAACAACAAATTATGAATCGAAAATATTACCTTCGAAAGCAAAGGATACCCTTAGTATTAAACAGTATAATATGTTTAATTGTGTGTATACACGTTTACATTATGAAATATAAATACCTATATATTATGAGTCTTATAAATATGTTATTGAATACCAACACAAAGGCAATTGCTACTCTCAAGTAAGCGTTCAATTTTGTTTAATAAATTCTCATAATCAATTTAGATTTTCCAGGAAAATAAGAATTTATTTCATCGGTAATATTAAGATAAATACTAAAAAAATTCTTTTATGAGATTGAGAAAAAAAAAATTAAGAATTACTGTTATAAAAAATAAAAAAATAAATAAAAAGTTCAAATTAGAAATTTCGAAGAAGAATAAAGAAGTAAAAGGAAAATTCATATACGTACATTATATACACGTTACGTTTATTTCCGAAAGTATATGTACATATGTACACATCAATATATACATAATTTATACATAATATATAAGATATTGATGTGTATGGATGTAGATTAATGCTTAATCAAACACGAAAATATAAAAACAATAATAATAATTGTTATTTATTTACTCAATTTAAAAATAATCCCGGATAAAATAAAAATGTTCATTTCCTATAACCTGTCTATACACTCTATATGATGAAATATTTTAAGCAACTTTTCTAAATGACATTATTTTTTTATTATATTAAAGCCATCGAAATTCTATCAAACCTATAATTATATGACAATATCGATAAATAATTATAGGAAATTTTAATTACTTTATAACAAATTTATACACAAAGGGATAGAACTTCAAACCTTACCAAAATGTTCAATTATAATTAAAACAAAAATTTGCTATAAGTTTGCCCGAAATTTTTATAACAGAAATAGTGAAAACATACAAAATGTGTCATCGTTACGATTTTGAAAAGTGCGATACATTGAAGACAAAGTTGAAGTGAAGCTTTAAAATATTTTACCCAAATAAAAAAGAAAGATCAACTTTGGAATTAGTATTATACGAATTTGGAATAAAATTTTTATTTCGAAACAATTTGATATTTAAAATTTTAAGAAAAAATTTTATTCTCCTTTTTAGCACTTTTCCAAAAATTTTTCAAAAGTGCTTATTAGTTTCACTCTGTCCGTCCGTCCGTGTGTCTGTTTACAAAACTTCTACACCCTTGAAGATAGAAAGCTGAAATTTAATACTTCCATAGATCTTTACTAGAAACTTATTTCCGTAGAACAACATTTTTACCTATCTCCCCCCCTCTAGAAATTATACCCCCCCAAAACCTTAAAAATGGCCTTTTTTAACTATTTGCTGCAATGAAACCATAAGCATTTTTGAAATTTTGCAAAAGCAGAAAGCTATATTAAATTAAAAGCTATACTATAGTTAAACTTTAGAAAAACAAAATGGTCGTTCAAATTTACCGTTGTCTAAAGTCCTTTTTTTAAAATTTTTGATGTCGTTTTTCCTCTAGACCCCAGCCTGTAGAAGCTTAAAATTTTAGAGGCTTTTAGACATTAATAAGCAGTTCATTTCGTTAGAAGAAAATTTTTTTTCATCTCCACCCCCTCTCAAGTTATCACCTCTTGAAATTCGTAAAATTTGAATTTTTGACACCTTATATATCCGAAACCGCAATCTTTTTCAAATTTCTATAAACGCAAAAAGTAAACGGTAAATTCCATGACATTAAAAAATGTAATTATTTTTTTAACTCACACAATTAACCCTTAAAATCGAGCATTATGTTAACCCCTCTTTATATTAATTTTTGCTTTACTTTAAAGACTGCACGTATGTATCATCCTAAATATATGCAATCCTAGAAATAGCTTTGTGTATAAATGAAAATAACTTTAATAGTGTTATAAGTATACATAGACTGTATTTAAAAGCAGAATTTTCACTTGTTGAAGGGAAAAGTGCTACAATACAAACCATTGGTTTGACCCAACTTTATTTTTAACTATACTAAAATCAAATTCACGGTTTATTCGATTTATTATTACTACGGACAAAAAGTATTTTATTGAAAAAGTAAAAATTTCCAACTTGAAAGAGAAAAATTTGACTTCTTCTAAATTTATTTGTAATTTCTGTTAAGTAGTTTACAATGCTCGACTTAAAGATATTTAATTAAATTGTTAATAAAAATTGTAAACGTTCTTCAAATCTAATAATTATTTTCCGCGAATAATAAAAAGAATTTAAATAGTAAAAAGCATTTTATACGTAACGTTGACAAGAAAAATCCTCTTTAATATTATGCGTACCTTTATTTTCTAATACTCGTACAGAACACCATTTAGAATAAGATATTCTATAATCTATGACATATACATATAAAAAGGATAAAAGAAAAAAATTTTTTTTACAAATTTCCTCATTTTCATTTTTCCAATATAACCTTTCCCATGTAGGCCTCCAAATTCGATGTAAATAAAAATAAAAATCATATTTTCAGAGCACTACAACTATCCTTTAACATGAAGAAATCGTAAAACAGCATTATGAGAACAACGTTGTTTTCTTTCTTTTTCACTACAACACGATATTCTGTTAAATATCTAATAAGTGGTATAATCATTAGAGTAATATTAATGGAATTAAAATTAAGAAGATTACCTACAATAATTGTAACGTCCTTTTAACGATGTGCACTTTAACACGCAGTGTAATAATCATTTATGCGTTGTTATTAAAATAATTTTTCGTTATATAATATTATAATAATTATGTATGTATATTGTATATAAAGTGTGACACTTCATAAATAAAGAATATTATTGCATTTCCGTTGTCTTGAAGTGTGTGAAGTTTTTAAACTTAATGTACGTTATAACAAAATAAGCAAGTATTTATGTAGGTGACAAAATATTTTAGCAATTTGTTTTTTGTATATTTTATATTCTGCAGAAAACTGACAAGGAATATTTGTAGTGTGAATTTTGTTTCGTAAATTACAAAAAAAAAATGTATGCAATTTTGAGAACAAATCAGTTTTCCTTAGAATTACTTTTCCTTCAACACTTCTTATCTGTCAATAAGTGTTACTTGTCTCCATTCGAAAGATTTGACAAAAAATATAAATATTTTGAACGGCCGTTTAAGTGAATCTAGGCGAAATCAACTATTTTTGTAACCTAAAAAATTTTCTCCATACAATTTTGTGGTGGCGCCAAAAATATAGGGCTATTTACGATGCCAAAAATTCACTTAACTTCTCTAAACTTTGAACAACGCTAATGACTGATGTTATATTTTATTAATCATTTTTTATCTTTCATATTTTTATTCTCTCACACCAAATACAAAACACAACAAATATTAGAAAAGTGTGTTTACAGCTATCAATTTAATGATATTATAACTTTAACATAAAACTTCTGCTGTTAAGAAAATTCAAAAACCAAACACAAAAGTCAAGTTTGAAAAGTAGGAGTTTTCTTTTTAATTTATGGTTCAACATTGACAACAATATAGTCAAGTTATATGTTTTGAATTTAGAATGAAACAAAAGAAAAAGCAAAGTTTCCTTTCCTTTTTCTTTTTGATATGAGAACTGAAAATATAAAGAATAATACACATTACTTTTTCGATAAATTTGTTAATCTATTAGGAACATTTTCATAAAATCTTAAAATTCCCTTTTATCATTACATAATAACAATGGTAATTTTGTAATTTTATATTCAAAACATGCCCGATAATATTATGAAAGTATAGCAAAAGAAAAGTGAACAAGCGCGAATTTTTCTTTCTCTCATTTTCTATATGCGGTCCCGTACTTTCTTTTGCTCTATCTTTTTATATTCTTCCTATCCTTCACTTCAGTATCTCTTTTCATATACACTTTAAGTATTGCCATCACTTATCACTGTGTGAAGTCATAACTTCAAAAAGTATTCCAAAAACAAATTACGAAAATTTTTAACGAAATAATATTACGTCCCATAATATTTGTATTTCAAAACTTTTTCCTAGGAATAAATTGATTGGATATATATGACCCCAAGTCTAGTGAAAGACTTCAAAACTCTCAAACAGATGTTTGTAAATTAATATACAAAATTTATTTCTACTACATGTTAGATTGTCATTCAACTTCTCAAATTTTGAAAAAATTTTCATATTTCCTTTAAATAATTGGTATCTCCGAGAAAAACAAATTAATACTTTTCATAATTTTTATAGCAGACTTAAACACATGGTTCTTGATAATAAAAATAATTTACTCTCAGTGTCTTACATCAATGCATGACATTATAAAATTAAATTTCAACATACTGAACTGGCAACACTACGTATTATGTGAATTCATCTCTTCACCTCTGTATTACACTCCATCTCATGTCACCAAAAAGAAATGCTAGGAAAAAATAAATATGAAAAAAAAACAAAAACTAACAAAGAAAAACGAATGACGATATCAAAGTCAAACTTCAGACATTTTATTACAAATTTATATTAAAGTTAATCCTTTGGGCATAAAAAAGAAATAAGAAACAAAAATGAAAAAGGGGAGAGTATGGAGTAATAGCAGCAAATTGAACAACAATAACTACAAAACAAAAAAACAAAAATGAATGTAATAAACAAAAATGCTTTTGCTTTTATTTTATCCTTTCAAAAAAAAGCATAATGGTATCTCTGTCTCCTTTCCTTTGAATACTGTTATTTATAGTATAATATATTATGTTTTTACCAAAAATGTATAAAATATAATAGTATATGTGTAAAATGTATTGAGAAACAAAAAAACTTCTTCGTAAAATTAAACACAAATTACCTTAATATCTCGAGGCTGTTTCATTTCTTGTCTCCTTGGTACTGAACCAGGTGAATCTGAATAAACTAAATTACGTATGGAACCACGAAATCGTGGTTCAAATATTACACTTGGTAATGCCAAAAGAGCCAACTTTGTGTTATACCTGCAAAAATATAAAATAAAAGTAATAAGTAAAATTTAATATCAAAATTAGGAGACAACAAAGAAGAAGAAATCATTATTACTTTTAGATTAAAAAAGCTTATAAGTATATATGTACATATTTTGACACACCATGATGTTCAAAGTAATATAGATATTGCAATGGATATAAGTGAAAAAATCCATTAAAATAAAATTTAGGCGTTAATTAAATCCTTTAAAGTCCTTTAATCTATACAAAATAAAAACTAAATTGAATACATTATTATTTTAAGTACTTTAATAATAATTGCTTTAGTAACAACATTTTACATTCTGTTTTATTCATGTACGATCATTTTTTGCACAACATACCCCTATATATATGCAATTTTTTTCAATATTGATAGTATTTATACTCTTATTTCAATTAATTCAAAGTTCAAAATTAATACCATTTAGTAATGTAATGATAAGAAAAATTTAAGTTCAGTTCAAAGTCAAATCCTATTTTGACCTTCAGTTATGATAACGAAACTATTCTTTACTCCATTCGTGACTACTATACATTTAGTGAAATAATTCTAGTATTTACAATACAGCAATAGCAGTAAAGCAATATAAATTTGTTCTCTTTACTTCTATCGAATGCATTTACGATATTTTTGGAGATTTCAAATTTTATTACTCGTTGTAAAGTGCATAGTTGATACAAACCTTACCTTGACTTTTGTTTTCTATTGTTTGAACAGAAAGAACCTTCATCAATTACATTTTCAAAAAGGACTAAATAAAAGTGTTCACAAATCTCAACTTCATATTGCAATGTTAGGAAAAATTACAAATTTTTTGTGTTAGAAGTTTATCTGCTCCCTATTTGATTTTTATTGTATCTTTTTTTTTCATTTTTATACTTTCGACCCGATATTCCCTTATAAAAACTTTTTTTATACTCCTTTATACACTTCCCTTATACACTTAAGTTACTATATTAATGAAGTAGAAAATGAAATGTCTTCATTCATTGTTTCATGGTGACCAAATTTCTACGCATTTTAAAAATTTTTTGTTTCATTGTAATTGTCTTGCTTCTTTTCTTTTGGCTCTTTAAACTTTCATCAATTGCGGCTTTCATCTCTAATTTTCCGCGGCTCATAATCCACTAAAGCAGATATACAAGCTTTAAGAAGTATGTATACAATATCAGTACATATACATTTTCATAGTATTTAACATGAAAAATAATAATGCTTTGTTTTTTTCTTATTTTACTTGTTTATATTCTGATCGGCTAATGTGCTTTCGTCTTGTATAGTTAAAAATCTCTTAAGCGTTAAAAATAATACAAAAAAAAATAATAATAAAATACCGAGAATAAGTTGAAAGAATCGAAAGATAGAACAAAATTTTCTTAATTGGCTTTATTTATTTGTTATTTTTATTTTTTATCTGTTGTGTTTATTCACCATAGAAATAAGCGAAAATCCATAATAATGAATCAGCAATCAGCCGCATCATTCAAAATAAGGTAGCATTTTGTAATTAAAACTTTTCAAATATAAAGAATGAAGAGGAATTAAAGGCTAAAAAGAAGCGTAAGAGAAAAATATTATAAATTTACAAAATTGTGCTAAGCTTCAAGGTCTACTAATTTGTGTTGTACCGGTATACCATACAAATCTAAAATTGATAAATTTTTTTGTGCATTAATTGAATGCTAGGTAACGCATAATGCATATAATTATACATATAAACATATTTGAAAGCCGTGTAGAGCTGAAACATGAAAAAATCATTAAAAAATAATTACGGAGGAAATCGTTGTACAGTCCACATTTTAGGCAATTAATATTTTATGTCAAACTATCATTTGTTTTAAGACCTAATACGATCATTAGAATTTTCTATTACCATTTCGAAAATGTTAATACATATTATTATATCTATACATTATATTTAATTATTAAAATTAATTTTACAAATTCTAGTAAAAATAAAACATTTTTATTAGTCACTATACAGTCATTAGTCTTGTTAATGATAATTACAAATCAAGGTGATTAAAATTATGTTATAATTCTCTTTTTGTTTTTTTTTTGTTTTTTCTATTCATATCTACGTGCATTTAATTTTAATTTATGGAACATGAAGAGAGATCCTAAAAGAGATAAATAAATATTTTCTTGGAACTCTATATATTTAGATTTTCACATTGCATTAAATTAATACAATGTAATTGCATAATCTAATTTTATTCATACATAAAATTATGCTACAACAATATTCATATTGAATTTATACATAAATTATAAGAAAAGTGAAAAATACTATTGAGAAATTTTAATTTTGCAAAAATATTAATAATTTATAGAATTTTAATTTAATGCAAAGCACAAACTATTTATTTAATATTTTGCTATATTTTCTTTTTTCATAAAAGAAGCAAATACAAATTTTATATATGTATATGTATCATTATGTGCACATAACATTTACCAAAGGTATGTACATATACAATAGAAATATAACAATTTTCAATGAGCTATAATTGCATATAACAAATAAATAAGAAAATTTCCACAAAAAGCTACAAATACAAGAAGAATCTTTTAGAGTCAGTTGAAATTAGCTTTTGTGTTATCATTTACAGTTATATAATGTATATAACTGCAAATTACGGTGTCGAAATTAAACAAAACGTTGCGAAATATTTATATAAATATATAAAAAATATAAAAATTGCATAAATAACAATTAAGAAATTTCCCTTGTTGGATTGCGATATCTTGTGGTGATGATGTTAGGATAAGACAAGATTTTTTGAAAACATCCTTAATAAAATGAGATAGAAAATAATTTTCTTCTACATAAGTAAGTTTCTCGTGTATTCAGTTTCCTATCTTAAATTATTGAGTATTTATTAAAGCAAAAATATTAAAGTTTTTGCTGCTTCGCCATTTTGTTATTTGAATAAAAAGTGATTTTAAAATAAACTATGGGTGATATTTCAATTTAAAATTTATTTTACAAATAAATGACATATAAAAACGAAAAACAAAACTGAAATCGATTAAGTAAGCTAGTATCCACTTCTTATTTCAGTGTTATCCACTGTTATATAGTATAAATTTAATTATATAGGATTTAATGCAGAAATAGCTTCTTATCTTATCTTAATAATTTTAGAAGATCAAATTTTTTGAAACTAAAATTATACCTACATACTCATTGATATAAGTATGTACTAATATTGCATTGATGTATTATTATATAATATCTTGCTATTGCCTTAATGCCTAAGAGATTTTCAAAAAAAAAAAAAGACAATCTACTTGTCATTTTTGTGTATACTTACGCCGAATGTATACGTATACATACATATAATGTAAATATTATAATATGTTTAATATTATATTATAGGGTGTATCCGAAAAATAGACGTTTTGTTTTCAGTTTACAAAAGTAAATACATTAAGTTTATATAAAATGTATGAGCGAATATGAGCTTTATTGAATACATAGATATGTACATATTTTTAAGATTTATTAGTTTTTCTTTATTGTTTTTCTTTCTTTTTCTTCTTTTACACATGATTGGAGGTTCCTTTAAGAATTCCCCAAATGTATAAAGATAGGGTATCTGAATAATAGAAAACGTAAGTGTGAATTGAATAAAATATTAGGACATAATTCTATATAATTCCCTAATATATGATGATCTTTCTTTGTTATAATACTATATACTATATATATACTATACATATATTATGGAAGTATATAATTGTATCTACATATTTATCTTAATGCCATATACATAATAACAATGACATTTTTCACACATGATAAAAGTAACTTTTTATATTAAACTTATAACATTAAAGCTATGTACATACATATATTATACACCCATTAATATATAAATGCACAGAATGTATAAATAAAATACGTGTGTATATTATATGTGTTTAAGATACAAAAAAAAAAAAAAATTTAACATTTCTTTAATAATCCTTATTTTGTTCTTTCTGTTTGCTTTCAAAATAAAAATTCTGGCTGCTTTTTATTCATTTTACAGTCATATTTGATTTTATTTTTTTTCATTCACTTTTTATAAGTTAAAATAACGAAAAGTAGAAAAAATTTGTCAGTTAACCCGCATAACTGTTGGTAAACTTTATAAAGGGATAACTTGAACTATGTAGTATATGAATATAATTTTATATTTTATGAGATTCGAAGATGAAATAAAAATTAAAAACAAAAGAAAAACTGTTATAAACAGTGAAGAATTGAGAAAAAATAAAATGGCATGCCATCATGCCAGAAATTTTGAAATTTTATTTTGAAATTTTTCTAGATTTATCCCTGAAATTTTTAATTTAATTGTGACTTTTGTTAGGAATGGGATGAGAAAAGGTAAGATGGAAGAAAATTATGTAAGAAGAAAAACAAATGAAAATTATTTTAATTTAAAAATTATAAATTTTTAACGGATGAGTTATTCAAAACTAAAACTAAATAAATTTTTGTGAAACTTTTTATCATCGGAAGCAGTCAAATTAAATAACTAATTGAATTATAAAAATAAATTTGGAAAATTCAATAAAATATTTGAACATGGTAAATGAACAGGGCAAACTACGTACTTGAGCATTTTTGAAAATTGTTTTTTTAGGTAGAAATTTAATTATTGTGTAAAAAGGAGTTTTTAACACTAAATATAATTACTTAGTCTTTGATATTACGCTCAAACCCGATAAATCATCAATAAATTGAAATTTTAAAATAAGTGTATAGTATTTACATTACCTCTATAAAATGATAACTTGTCATACAGTTCAAATTTTCTTTTAATTTTTTTTAAGTGTGAATTACGATGGTTTGAGACAGTCTAATTGAAAAGTGTTTGCATGTATAATACGTATAGTATAAAGCAAATGTGTATATGTGCAATACTAAAGTATAGATACAAGTTACAAGTTGTCCACAATAATTGTATTTTAAAAGCACATGAAAAAAATT